CTGCAATGAAATTGGTAATCTTATTCCAAAAGTTATTATGCAGAGTTAACATGACCCGGCAATTTTACATGCAGTAGAAATAGACAAAGAATTGAGATTATTAGCCAATAACAGAAAGTGTTTAATTTAGACTTAAGAAAGTCTTTATGTATGGAAATTTTTAAAGAACGGGATTAAACCTATTTTAGTTTCCTGCCTTGGGCATCATGAGCAATTGCACTGTGGAGTAGGAAGAGTTGAGATAGCCGGCCATCCCAGCTTCCCTGAAAGTCATGCTCCTTAGGACAGGGACGTGTGCCTGCAGGAGAGTTTGTTCTCACTGTTCCTGCCCATAGTAGATAGGTCATAGGAAGACAACTGGCTAAAACAAGACCAACAAATTTAATTCTTAGAAATGTGCCGTTGGAATTTAGAAAGCACAGCCTGTTAACGGACACGGGGTTTGGAAGCAGTACAAACCCAGGGGTGATGGCATTGCCCATCATGTGCCCTGAGGAATAGCCAAAGCTAATCCTGGAGTATGAAAAAATCAACCTATACACACAAATACAAGAGCAAATGACGATGGTGCTGAGGAGAGCAGAGACTGACCAATTTCTGTGAAACCTGGCTGTCCTTCCTGATTACAGGTTTCAGGCAAATCCCTGATGTCCTCCTGATACATTGCACTTACTGTATTGTTATGCTAAATGTGTTTCTGTAGCTTGCAATTAAACAACATTTAATGCAGAGAGAGGTAAATTATGACATCTGGGGTCATTTAGGAGAAAGCAACCTGAAAGCAGAAAGAATTAATAACATTGGAAGTTTTCTTCTCTTGATATAATTGAGTGAAAAGTACTGTTCTTAGCTAAAGGTTAACTTGCATAGGTACAGCTATCTTAGGCAGGACTCCTATCTTGAAAATTGGTACAGATAACATTTTAAATAAAAGTATATGATAATAGTGTTACATTCTGCTACTAAAAATCCCAATAATAATTTTAATCCTGTATTTATTGAATACTTAGTATGTATCAGGTATGTAAACACTTTGCATGCATTTGCTCTACCACTGTCATGGGTCACTTAACGACGAGGATGCCTTATGGGAAATATGTCATTAGGCGATTTCGACATTATACGAGCATTGTAGAGTGAACTTACACAAACTTAGATGGTATAACCTACTACACACCTAGGCTATTTGGTATAGCCTGTTGCTCCTAGGAGCATGTTACTATATTGAATACTGCAGGCAATTGTAACACAGTGGTAAGTATGTATCTAAACACATATAAACATAGACAAATTAGAGTAAAATATGGTATAAGATAAAAAATGGTGCCACTGTATCGGGCACTTACCATAAATGGAGTTTGCAGGACTGGAATTTCCTCTGCATGAGTCAATGAGTGAGTGGTATGTGAATGTAAAGACCTAAGACATTACCGTACACTGCTATAAACTATAAGTACTGTACAGTTAGGCTACATTAAATTTATAAAAAAAGTTTCTTCAATAATAAATTAACCTTAGTTTACTGTAATTTTTTCAATTTATAAGCTTTTAAGTTTTTAAAAACTTTTTGATTGTTTTATAATAACATTTAGCTTAAAATACACATTGTACAGCTGTGCAAAAATATTTTCTTTTTTGATAGCCTTCTCCTATAAGGTTTTATTCTATTTTAAAAATTTTTTATGTTTACTTCACTTTTTAAACTTTTTTGTTAAAAACTAAGACACAAACACATACATTAAAGTAGGCCTACGCAGGGCCTGCATCATCAATATCACACTGTTTTTTGCCTTCACATCTTGTCCCACCGGAAGGTCTTCGGGGGCAATAACACATATGGGAGTTGTCATCTCCCATGATATCAATGCCTTCTTCTAGAACACCTCCTGAAGGATCTGCCTAAGGCTGTTTTACAGTTAACATTTTTTATATTAATAAGTAGAAAGAGTGTGCTCACAAATAATAAATAGTATAATAAATTCATAAACCAGTAACATAATCATTTATTATCATTATCAAGTATTGGGTACTGTATATAATTGTGTGTGCTATGCTTTTATATGACAGGCATCACAGTATGTTTGTTTATACCAGCATCACCACAAAAACATGAATAATGCATTGTCCTACAATGTTATGAGGCTACAATGTCACTAGGTGATATGAATTCTTCAGCTCATCTTATGAGACCACCATGGTATATATAGTCCTTCTTTGGCTGGAATGTCATTATGTGCTGCATAGCTGTATTGCAACTTCATAACATGAGGACTGTTTTTGACTTGATATTTTTATATGATTAGAAATATGAGGTAACCTCAGAATAAATGATCTTATTCCTATTTCAGAAGAAAGACCAATAGAAGGACGAAATATGATATGGTCTCTATGCCATGTGTTATCTCCTGGTTATAATATAGTTTGTGGATTTCTTAAAATGGCCAAGTCATGGAAAATAGCCTGACCAATGTAGTGGTATCATTAGCTTCTATGTTCTAGACAATACATTTCAATTAATTAATTGATGCACTCATAAGTCAACAAAGATTTAGTTGAAATCTAATGGAATTAGATTGAAATCTATATGGAAAATATTCTACTAAGTGCTAGGGGAGTAAAAAATTAGAAATAGTGGTGGAAGGATACATACAAACAGGCAGATGTTACTGCAGAAGTTAGAGCAAAGAACTGTGGCTGCACACTTTCTAGGAGGAAATCAGAGGTAGATGCTTAGGAGGTGTCAGGAAGGCTGAATATGGGTGTATCAAGAGTGGCAAAGGAGGAGAAGCACTTCAGCCAGAGGGCATACACAAGCACAAAAGCACAAAGCCTTGTGGTATCTTCAGAACAGCAGTTCTTTGTTGCTGGAGTAAAGATGTGTATATACTAGAAGAGAAGTCCTACAAGGACATGAGACTGGAATGTGTCTTTTATACTAAATAATGAGTCCACCCTTAGTCCTAAATGCCACCATGAGAACAGAGTTTGTAAAGTTAGGACTGATAAATGCCCATTTGTTTGGGGAGAATGGACCGAAGTCAGGAAAATGAGAAAGCTGTTATAGAAGTCTAGAGACTGGAAACAGTGGGGCTTGAAAAAGGCAAGGACAATGGAGTAGAGGAATAAAAATGGGTATTCAGGTGATGTTTTCAGATAGAATCAGCATGATTTAGTGATGCATTAAACATGGGACAGGAAGGAGACATGTGATAATTCCAAGGCTCCTAGCTGAGAACCCTGTGTGCAGTATACCAATAACCAAAGAAAGAACAGAGGAGTTCAAACAGTTTTGGAGGGAGATTGGGAAGGTAACAGGATTAGGTTTTGGCAAGCTGCATTTGAGAAGCATGTAGAATAGGCAGCTGGAGATGTCTAGCAGCCACTGAAAGTGCAACCTCAGATTACATTTGCTTTGTAAGCAATCATGACCCATCGTCAATTGACATTCACATCTTTTAGGAGGTGTACTGTCATCAAGCACTTTTCCCACCCTTCCCATTATCCTGAAAAAGAAAACTTTTTATTATCCTAACTGGGAAACTTATCTAATTTTCTTATTAAATTTTATTTTGTGGGTTTCTATCTGTCAAGATAATTTTGCATCTTGATAGACAGAAGACTTGTTGGTTAATCACAGATTTCAGCTTTTTGTTATTCACAGTCTAATAATCTGGCACTATTTCTTTACCCAAGTGGTTAAAAATGTTGAGTGGGACCAAAAGCAAACACTAGGGTTCACCAGCACTGAGGAGTTGTGATTATTCCACATTTCGTGCCATGCCTTCACCCCTAATCTGCTTACCCTTTTCTACCTTGCTTTTACTCCAGAAATTTGACTCCTACTGACTACGTAAATGGAGCACCTTTTCCCTCTGGCTTCTGGTTGGATCTGCCAGTGGAAGACACAGGAAGGGGATCTGAGAGTGGAAGCAGGTAGAGATCAAGATACTGTTTTCTCTACTCTCTCTTCCTCAACTTTGGACGCTCTGTCAGTGATTGTTTTGGCCATACTCTCCTCCTTTCTTGGCTCCAACTGTCACTGGGCTCTAGTGACATCATGATCTCTCTTTAGCCCCTCATATCCACCGGCAGTAATGGGTTCTGAGTCCATGGGTATCACAACATACCTGTTGGTACCCTTGGATCCACTCACATCTATGCAGAAAGACCATTACATTCTATCCAAAATCCTGGTGAAGCATCTTGTTCTACTGCGCTGGCCTGATGAATACACTATCACTGAATATGACATTTTAGGTGTCTCTATTATATGATTTTTCAACATGATACAATGAAGTTATTACTATAGAGAACTTATAATATTTCACTTAAATAATTCTTCTATCATCCCAACACTATTTGTTACTACAAAATGATATAGTATAATAGCTTCAAACAATTGGAGGGGAAAAATATCCCAGCTGTGATCAGAGAGTACACAGTGCACACACACTGCAAACCCTCACTTCCATTAGTTCATTATACAGTTGTTATTTCCCCACTATGAAAATCATAAGTCGAGAGTAACTGTTTGAAGTAGAAATGATATACCAACTTATAAATGTCTCATGAAGAGTAATCATTTGTAATTTAGTCATATGAGGTCACTGCACAGTCCCAGGGTACCCTGGGTACTGTTTACTACATAACGAGCAACTAGGTTACTCTGATCATAGCTACTACCCATCAAATGTGATCCAGCTAAAAGAGATTTGGATGTTTACAGTCTCAATCTTATTGATTGCACTACTATAAGTAGAAAGAAGACTGTATTTGGTATCAAAAGCTTAGGAGTAAGGGTCTCTTTCTTGCCCTACGAAGGGTGGGTAAGGGCTCAGTTGCCGAGACCATAGAAGCAATGTTCAAATAGTCAGGGTTCTTGGAAGACTCTCTATTTGCTATTTAAAACACATCAGTCCCTTGACTGATGTGTCAAATATAGTGAAATGAGGGATGATGGGTAGGGAGTGGGGGCTAGAGGTGGGGAAGGACATAATTACTCTCAAGTCTTCTGGTGTAGAAATTTTCATCATGGTCCATTCTTTTCTTCCACCATAGGATATTCCTATTCCAGTTTTCTGAGAACATAAATGGCTGTTTGGTCACATCAAAAAATCCCAATCCCAAAGCCAAAGGCATTATTAAGCCCCAGTATGATGCTGGAAAGCTGAAAAACAGAAAACAAAACAAAACAAAACAAACAAACTAACAAAAAAACTGAAGCAACTTCTGCCAGGACCAAATAGTAACTTGTCAGTAGTGGAGCAACATTTAGAAATGTGGCTACGTCTGTTACTCAGATGGTGACACGATAGGGAAATTCCAAGTGGTAATAATCTTCATTTATTCTTAGAGTTGTGAAAACAATACATAGCTTTAAGTGATTTACCAATGCTTTCTTAAAAGGTTATGGTATGCAGATGATGTTCAATGAAAGTAGAAAGGTTTTCCCTGTATAATTAGATGTCACATTCCTCAAAATGGAAATTTAGGGCTTTCTCTGTTGGAAATTTTTTAAAAAGGCTTCAGGAAGTCTTATGTGTCCATCTTTTAAATCAGTTGAAATACTTTTATTACTCATGTTGAGATTGCTTAGTGCCCGTTATGAAACTTGGGTATTACATTATTAATAAATTAACTTTCTTTTTCTTAAAGCTTTGAAAGCACTAATATTATGTTTCTATTAAAACATCACATTTTTCCTGTTACTTTCTGTATTTTTCTATGATCTCTTAAGAGTAAAATTACCTTGATCTTCTCTTTTAATGTTGTCTTCTTCATTTTTCCTTTCTTCTATTGAATTTTGCTTTCATTGTCTAAAATAGAGAATAGAGATTTTAAAAAGACTGCAATGTGCATCCATCGAGCACTTGCTATAAGGCATGCACTATGCCCACCTCTTTGCATACATGGTCTACCACAATTTGGTTATTCCAAGATTACACGGGAGAGTGTCTTACTTTATATTAAACGTTTTTTAGAACTTAGAGAGTTAATTAACTCATGTAAAATAACACAGTCAGTAAGTGTTAGACTTGAGATTTGACCTCAAACTTGTCTAAGAGCAATGTTTTCCAGTCTTATAAAAAATTTGTTACTACTTGTAATTATTTCATGACACTTTGTGTTTCTTGCTCAAAGTAAAAGCAAAACAAGAAGGAAAAAAACACCACACAAAAGTAAATCTTGTGGAGCATTTCATATTTTGCTTCTTAAAGCAAAAATTAATTTACATTTTATTTTTGTGACTACTGGTAGACCATTTTTTTCCCTTTAAAGTTCAAAGGTTTAAAAATCTCTTTAAAATAGCTTAAACCCTTCAAAGACGAAGAAATACTGCCATTTCTGAATCATTTTTTCTGATTTTTCACTTAAAACATACTATATTCTACATATGCCTACTAATTTTTTAATTGAGGAAAATCTCCTTTTTCCCCTAATTGCAAAATCATCTTAAAATATGACATATTTTTATTCATTGATTATCAGTAGAACAGTCTATTATATGAATTATACAATTTGTATAAGTTTATCTTTGAAATTGAGATTATTTTGCTTTTGTTAGGTACACACTGTAAACCAAAATTTGATGGATTTAATAAATTAGATTTCAGCAAGCAACCTGCTTGTGAGGAATAAAGACCCAATTGGTCAGCTCACTGAAGCAGGAGTGGATGTGATGGTGTCCCCATGGCCATTCAGTAAATCAATTTCCTGATAAATCTTTGCTTACAGAAAATATTTTAAGTATCAGGACAATATACCATATATTGGCCTATATTCTCTATGGCTAACTCTGAAGAGGAAGTTTGACCTGAAGCTTTGAGAGTTTGCTTGAAACTTGGAGATATTTCTTGGTCAAGGATAGTATAGTATAGCCCTTGTATAGAAGTCAACTTATTCCTGATTATTACAGGGCTAGATTACAGTATAGATTACAGGCTATAACTTAGGTATACCATTAATGAAGGACACAGTTTAGTGTAGAGGTTAAAAATGATGGCTCTATATTAAAGCTGGGTTCGAATCCTGGGTTTACTACTTATTCTCATTGTCACCTTGGACAAATTACCTAATCCTTTTAAGTATTCATCTTCTCACTCTAAATAAATTAAGACTACCAATCTTATTGAGTTGTAGAGTATAGAAAATGGTCTATGTCTGGTACTTAGCACAGAGTCTGTTCTGCTTTGCAAAGGTTAGCTTTGACTTGGATATTAAACACAACATCTGTAACCATTAATGCAGCAGATTAGCCCATGGTGCTAATAAGTGTATGGTTATGTGGTCAATGCTCTATGGAGGCCAATCAGCCTTACTCTGATTCATGGCCTCAGCTTTACTCAGCAAGGCCATAAGTATGCCAGAATAAATCTATACCCATTACTGGAGAAAAAAATCAAATGTCTGCCCCTAGGCTGGTCAGTCAGTAAGGTCACCTTCATACACAAAGAACAATATTAATGTTAAGTCTGTCTGCTCAAAAATAAAATGTTCACCTGCAGTTAACTTTGAGGACTGGGAGAAGTCAATGAATTAGCAGAATCTTATGAAAGAGCGAAGTTAGATTGGAAAGGAAGTTCACAGTGAGTAGATTTCAAGCAGGAGCTTGGTGAGGCTACTGCCACAGAACTAGTTATAAGAAGGACTAAATATGACTGGAATAATTTGGATCTATGATGTCAATTAAACCATATTGTCACATGAAATTCCTTACATAATTGGAGATGTGAAAATTGGTTCCCTTTCCAATAAAGAAGCACTCTTGAGTAGAAATTAAAAACAAAGTCAAAAGATAAACACTCTTTACTGGTGCTTATTCCACTCTCGCCAAATGTTGTATAAATAATAAAAGGATATTAGTTTCAGATTATCAGCTTGCCAGAGGCACAGAACAGCAAAAGTAAACATCAGGGGTAATGTGGTTTCCTTGATGATGTATGAATATAATAGCGAGGTGGTAATATGAAGAGAACCTATGAATAAAAGAAATTGATTTTTTTCTGGTTTCTGCCATTGGCGAATCCTTTGGCACAGGCAGTGTGAGACGTACCTTGATAAGTAGTGGGGATGATGCTTTACTGAATTAGTCCGGTGAGGAACAGACCATAATATCATAATTTACTTATCATTTGGGGCTTACCTCAATTTTAGAGTTCTTGACAGCTACAAAAACTCATCAGGTTAACTAAAAAATCAAATTATCACCTTGCTTCCCTGGAGAAGGAGAACAAGCACATTCATCATCATTTAGAATTTTTTTTAACAACATAGATTAACAGTAAAGTAGTATCTCACATCTTTAAAGTATTTTACACTCTCTTGGGTGCTTTCACTTGCAGTAGCTCTCTGACACGCAGAAGTCAGGAGAACCAAGAAGATTACCTTCCTAACTATGCAGTTTTATGAAGACCAGGATGAGTTAACAGGAGACATGGTGAAGGCTGCATTCATAAAAAGCTCATATCACAGTTTCTGGTGTACTCGGGAAGGACTCACAGAATTAAAACACATTTGCTGCCTGACAAAAAAAAATGCCAAAACTATTTGGCCCACCTATGCAATGGAAACTACAGTTTCTTCTCATTCACGAAGGCTGTATTTCCCTTTATTTTCCTTACTCTCTGCCCTGCTCCTTTAAAAAAAAAAAAACTCAAATGAGAGCGGTATCAGGAGCCTCTTGCGGCCACAGAAACACTCAAAGTGCCTGCACCAGTACAGACTTTGACAAACATCAAAGATGAGAGGAATAAAAAAAAATGAGAATTTTTTTTTTTCTTCATTTGGTCTTTGCTGAATCTTCAGTCATTTTAGGCGCATGACATTACTTATTTGTGTCAATTCTTACCTCTTTTCCCCCAACATTTTCCTTCCATAAGGCCTTCAAGTCTTTGCTCAAATCTTACCTTCTCAGGGACGTTATCTTTTGAAACTTGCACACATCCCTTAACATTGTGTGTGTGTGTGTTGGGGTGGGGGAGGGGGGATGTGATCCCTTGTCTCACCCTAAATTTTTTCATCACCTTCTAAGGTAGTATATAATTTTCATATTTATGTTTGTTGTTCATGATCCATCTCTCCTCACTAGAATGCAAGCTCCAAGAGGGCAGGGATCTTTGTTTAGCTCACTGATGAACACGCAAAGAAATATATGCTGAGTGGAAGAACAAACCAATGGTTTTCTTTTGTTTTTCTTATAGGTAACTCAATACTAACAAGCATCCCAACCAACTCTCATTTTAAACTTTTAGAAGATGGCCAGGGAAAAATGTTACCATGCATGTGCTGAACATCTTATTTTGCAGAGAGGAATAGAAGCATGTTTCAATAGAGATATGAAAAAGCTGCTGAAGGTCTAGCACAGAACTTACTAATAGTGTGTAACAAATTATTGGGCTTTAGAAATTCAATTTAGTTCTCAACATGTGCCGCTTCACCACCTGCATACACATGAGTCACACCCATACCCGCTCTCTCTGCCAGCTCCACCTTTTATCCTCCCCCTCATTAGCCAACACCTAATTACATACTAATTGGCCCAGAGAACACAAGCTTGTTATTGCACTAAAAACACTCAGAGCTCCCCCACAGACAGATTCTCATGAAAACCAAATATAAAGGGAGTTGGCCCACTGCCTGGTTTTCATTAGGACTAAGCTAGATTCTTCTAGGTCCTGGCCATACAGATTAGTGTTTGTTTTCAGGCTTCTCCTAAGTCATAGTTTTCAGGAGCACATTTCAATACTCGGGACCAGCCAATGGGACCAACCAGATTTGAGTCTCTCATGTGGGCAGCAATTTCGGCCAGAAAGGACCTTTATAGATGACCTGGATCGTTACATGAATGGTTCATTAGACAGAGACACCTGCAGCTCACCAGGAAGATTTCTTCATTAAGCTTACTATTGTTCCCCTTATGTGATCCCTGAACATCAAAGTGTTCAAACTGCAACTCTCTAAGATTAGATAAACTGACTCTATAAATATATTAGGAACATGAACATGTAGCTCTTTTCACTGAAATACATTTTTCTTCCCATGGAAAACACACCAAACCATTCCTGCCATCAAAACACAAATAAATGAGCTGCGACTAATGACAGAATATTAGGAGTCTGAGTGGAGATGCAGTTTTGTGAAACTGTGGGTTTCTTTTTTTTTTTTCCAACTAGCATCTGGTACTGTAATTACCAGTAAGGATAGGTTCAGACACCTGGAGGAGGAGACAAAAATATAGAACAGAGTGTCCACATTGGCTGCATACTGCTCTCCCACACTCCCCTAGTGTGGGCGAGGTGGGGGCGGCACCAGGGGGAAGATGCTTGCCATGTTCGGAAATGGAATGCCATATCAGGGCAGGAAGAATTAAGAACAAGGAGGGAAGAAACCCTTCAAGCTACATCTGTCTCCCAAAAGGAGCCACAGTCCAGCTCCAATTGCGTATATAAAAGAGATGAACAATTTTGGAGAGTCCACTGCAAATTGTTGTTGCTTTGCTTTGATGGTGTGAGGCAGGGGCTGAAATATGGATTCCCTACTTGGATAAGCTGAGATTCTGAGTATTATTTAATCAAACTTCACTGCAATGCAGAGATCTCTTAAACAATATCTGTGTCAGATTATTATTCTATCTCTGAACAACTCTAGTGGTGGGAAACCTACTTGATAATCCAGTCCTTTTGAAGAAAGGCTGCATTTATATATACACCTTTAAGTATCACAGATACCACAACGAACAATTATATGAGTGTAACTGTACTTTACATTTAAAGTGTTTATGTTCTTTTTCATTTAAACCTCATGCTATAATTTCCACATTCTGAGTATTGTTAATATTGTTGTTATTATTAAATGAATAAATAATTAACGTACAAAGGGTGGTATACAGCATCCAACACATGGTAAGGCCTCAATAACTATTAGTTGAGTGAATAAATCTTTTTAAAGCACAGTGCCAGTTTCATATGTGCTGGAAACTTATTTGGTGAATGTCTTGGCCCGGGTTCTTAGTTACAGACAATAAAACCCACTTTAGCATGTTTAAATGGAGATGAATTTATTAAAAGGCATAAACAGCGTAGAAGCATTGAGAAGCCTGAAGAAACAGACTCTTCGTTTCCAGGAAAGCCCCAAACCGCACCACACAATTGGGTTCTTATGTGTGCTGCTGCTGATCCAATGGTTCAGAGTGAGAGAGTCCTTGCTGCCTGCTCTGGAACCATGCCAAGTCTGCCAGGGTGTGCATGGCTGACTGAATGCCTTTCAGCTGTTTCTCTCCACTCGTAACTACATTTCAAATTAAAACTCTGCATGAGTGTGTCTGATTGGTAGACTCTAATTCAAATCAGGAACCTCCTCCACTGGAACCTTAGAAATAGACTTTTTAATGTTTCATCTGTCTAAACACATCTAGTGAGCTGAACACTCACATCATCTGCCACAGTGGGGTGGGAGCTGTGAGCAGGGACCTGAGCAATAGCTCATGAGGACAAAGGACTTGGGCAAACTGACTTCCTCCCAGGCCATCAGCAGTATCTGAGCAATCTGAGATGAATTCCACAAATTCATAAGATTTGCAAACAGTATGAACTACTCCACCAACCTCTTCACCCTCTTGTTCTCCCAACATGATGAATGTGTGATTCATCATGATCTGATTCTGGCCTTCACTTCTGCCTATCCTTACCTACAAATTAATATCAACAACTGCTTGGAGTCCACTGAGCAAATAAATTGCCATTTCTTGCCTCTGCATCTTTATTTTTATCTCTTTGCTTTATTTCACTTTTTCTTTCTGTGGGTTTTCCTGACTCAGGGTCAAGTTTGGGCATTACCTCTACTAGAAAGCCTTCCTTAATTCTCCAATACTGGGTCAGTTGTCTCTGCTGTCGTATCAAGTACATTATCTTTGTAAAACTTATAATATTTAATTATCATCGCTTTGTGGGTACATGTCTCTCTCATTGTATTGTGAGTTCCTTGAAGGACAGGTCCACAAATTATTCATCCTCATGTTGAAATATAGTATCTAATAGTATTCATCAGGGATGGATAACTCCTTTAACAAACAATACAAACATTTCAATGGCTTGATTCAGTAAATATTTATTGAATAAACATCGATTGCTTACTCACATTATAGTTCAATTTGAGTCAGTGGAGGCTATGCTCCACCCAGTCATTCAGGAATCCAGGCTATTTTTATTATTCAACTCTGCCATATTTCAGGCTCCTATTTTCTTCTCCTTTATAAAGAAAATAGAAAAAGAAAAAAACAAAGAATTGTGGCAGAGGTATACTACTTTTTAGGTGGTAGACCTGGAAGAGGTATATACGACTTCCGTGTATGTTCCTTTGACTAGAACTTAGTCTCTAGTCCCCACCTAACTGCCAGGGAGTTGGAAAATGAAGTCTAACTGTGAGGTCAGGGAGAAGAAGAAATGCCATTTAGTTAATACACAGGATTACTTATACTACAATACACATTTCTGGCCACCAAATGTCTTTCTTTCTCTTATAGGAGAGACAACTCAGAGTCCCATTCAATCACAGTGTACAGCTCAAAGATCAGAATCTCTTGGTGATGCTCAGTTCTCTCCACCAAGATCCTAGAAGTTAAGAATTAGAAAGACAAATTTTCTGCAAGTGCCACCCCACTCCAATCTTATGCACCCAATATATAGTGGTACAACAAGAACAAAATAACTTCAATAATATCTCCCATTCAGAAAAGTGAAAAATAAAAGATGCAGCAGTTACTTATTCATAGCATATTAAAATACTTTAGGCCGGGGGTGAGCAAATATTTTCCCCTCCCTCCCTCCTTTCTTCCCTCCTTCCTTTCCCTTCCTTCCTTCCTCCCTTCCTTCTTTCTTTCCCTCCTTCCTTCCTTTCTTCCTTCCTTCCTTCCTTCCTTCCTTCCTTCCTTCCTTCCTTCCTTCCTTTCTTCCTTCCTTCCTTCCTCTCTTTTTCTTCTCTTTCTCTTTCTTTCTCCTTTTGAGATGAGACCTTGCCAGGTTGCCCAGGCTGGTCTTGAACTTCTGGGCTCAAGCAATCCTCCCACCTCAGCCTCTCAAACAAATGCTTTCCTGAAGGACATTCAATTCCTATTTCCTAAAATGGCCAATATTTTAGGTTTGCAGGCTATATACTGCCCACTGTGCCTCAACTATTACTCAACTATGCCATTGTAGTTCAAAAGAAGCTATAGAGAATACATAAAGCCCAGCTGTATTTCAATGAAGCTTTATTTATAAAAACAGTACACATGCACCTGGCCTGTAGTCTGCAGATCTATGCTTGAGACAAACATTCGAAGTCTGTCTAACTTAGAGGTGGGGAGAGTTGCTTGATTAGGGCCTGATCTCCCTTTTTGGGAAGAATTCCAGTGTCTGTTTTTACTCCAGAGCATCTGGCTCAACACTAAGAGATTTTTTTGGTTTATTATTCTACTGGACCATATCTGAAATGGGAATTGAGGAATATGCACAGCTATCTCAACTGCTTCTAGCTACAGCAAGTGGAAAACATAAAGTTTGTTTTATAGTACAGACCATCAAAGACTCACGTTGTCTTTGGCAATATGATTATCTCAACAAATCAGTAGGCTTCTGATTTATTTGGTCCCAGTCAGTTCCACATGTAAATGACTACATAGATCTTTTCTAACCATAGCTGTAAAACATGCCTTATTTTTAAGTTTATTTTCCTCATGTCTTTCTCAGTTTAATAAATTACCTTAATATCATCTAAACCAATGATTAGGAAGACCACACTAGTGCTGTACAGTAGGGTTTACTGTAGTGTTGATCAACTGACAATGTTTCCTGCTGCCTTGTTGGTCAAGATCTTTTAATTTTTTATCTTACTAACTGGGATCTGAAGCAATCAACTGTTCTAACTCTAGGATGCTTCATATTTCTGGATTCTGTATGCCCTTTCATTTCTGCTTAAAAATCAGACACTGAAAACCAATGATAATAAAAATATAGTGATACTCTAATGCTAATCACTTCCCCTAGAGCCACAGATTCAATAGGTATATGGATTATTAATAATTTCCTAGGGCTGCCATAACAAAGTATCACAAATTGGGTGACTTACAACAATAGAAATTTATTGTCTCAGAGTTATGGGGCTAGAAGTCTGAAATCAAGTTGTTGGCAGGGTTGGTTTCTAGTGCAAGGGTCTGAGGGAAAGTCTGTCCCATGCTTCTCTCCTAGCTACTGGTGGTGATTGGCAATCCTTCATGTCTCTTTGGCTGTTGATGCATCACTCCAACCTTTACTTCTGTCTTTGCATCATCTTCCCTCTGTGTGTATGTATCTCTGTCTGTGTCCAGATTTCCCTCTGCTTATAAGGAGAGTAATGTTGGAATAAGGCTTACTCAAATAATCCCTTTTTAACTTGAGGACAGCTGCAAAGATCCTATTTCAAAATAAGGTCACATGTACTGGGGATTAAAACTTCAAGATACTGGCCTGGTGTGGTGGCTCACGCCTGTAATCACAGCACTTTGGGAGGCCGAGGTGGGCAGATCACGAGGTCAGGAAATCAAGACCATCCTGGCCAACATGGTGAAACCCCATCTCTACTAAAAATACAAAAAATTCAGCCAGGGGGGTGGCAGGCGCCTGTAGTCCCAGCTACTTGGGAGGCTGAGGCAGGAGAATCACTTGAACCCGGGAGGCAGAGGTTGCAGTGAGCCGAGATCACACCACTGTGCTCCAGCTTGGTGACAAAGCAAGACTCTGTCTTGGAAGCATATCATCTGCTTTCCAAGTTATTGCAGGTGACAATTTTTTTTGTTTGTTTTTTGTGAGACAGAGTCTCTCTCTTTTGCCCAGGCAATAGTGCAGTGGCATGATCTCAGCTCACTGAAACCTCTGCCTCCCAGGTTCAAGCGATTCTCTCGTGCCTTAGCCTCATGAGTAGCTGGGACTACAGGCGTGCACCACCACACCAAGATAATTTTTGTATTTTTTTGTAGCGGTGGGGTTTCACCATGTTGGCCAGGCTGGTCTTGAACTCCTGGCCTCAAGTGATCTGCTTGCCTTGGCCTCCCAAAGTGCCAGGATTACAGGTATGAGCCACTGTGTATGGCTGCAGGTGACAGTTTTACCAAATGTTTCCGACACTGCATGAATTGTCAACATTCCAACCTCCAGTATCATTTTCCTTACCATGCACTATCTGACTGCTAAGTCAATTTCACATATTTTAGGTTTTGTTTTGGCAGCATCCTTTTCAAGCAATGAATACCTGTCTTATCAAGCAAGATAGGTTGACTGCGCAACAATGCCAAAATTTCTGCAGTTAACCCAATAAAAGTTTATTTGTCACTCACACTACATCCATTGTGGACCAGTGGGATGCTCTGCTCCACACAGTCATTAGGGAATCCAGGATCCACATATCAGGTAGCTTTGCATCCTCTGTTCATGCTCCTCTGCTTTCAGAGGGTGGAGAGAGAAAAGTATGGAGGAACGAAGGTTGGAAAGTAAAGCATGCCACTCCCACTGGTATTTGACCAGTCAAAATGAGTTACACATCCCAAACTAGCTGCAGGCAAGACTCAGAAATGTGAATAAATTGTGTGCCCAGGAGGGAAAGAAAGAAAGCTTGGTAAACACACAGCCTTGCATTTGCCCCAAGTACTTTGAAAATATCTGAAATATGCTTTTGAACAAATTATTTTAAACAAATGAGTTTCAACAGGCTCAAGTCAGTTCCTAACATTTGTTAATATTTATAGCATCTCATCTAAAGGGACAAGGTGGTGTACGCTATCAAGACTTCTGGCTGGCCCTGGCACCTTGTTTGTATCTTGAGTCCAGCTGTGAATCTGGGAGAGGCCTGACAGTCTTTTCTGACCCCATAGTTAAGCAATAGCTGGGAATGAGAATTCCTCATATCTTAGCTGAAGTTTGAGGTAAAATTCTAAACAAATGAAGATGGGTATGAAGAAATGTAAAAGACATGAATAAACCAAAGCCAGAAAGAAATTAGGAAAAGATATTAGGTATTAGATAGAAAGCTTCAGTTCAATTCTATAATTCTACTTATCTACATCTATTCGCCCATCCGTCATAGAATGACTTTCAGATCCCTTTAATAATAGTCCACTTCCCACCTAAATTTTCATCAGTTTTAAGTCTGGCTAGTGACAAAAATGCAAGTTAATAACTATTTTCCATTTGAGCTGGAATGGTCAACTATTTTCATCATTATGGTTGCTAGATATTTTCCTCTAAGAGTCTCATCTTTTGTTAGTCTACCTTTCATGGGGCCAAATTTCAGATAGGTATCTTGTTATCTTGTCTCATTAAGCCTTATTTCCAAGCCTCCTATGGCAAGATGTCTGTCAGAATTCCTCATATGACATGGTATCTATACCCTTCTTCCTGTCACTCTCCTAGGAATATGCTTTAATTTTTAAACTTCCTCCTAAAATTTTGAATCTGGAAATAAATTCAGGTCCCTGTATGTGGCTGGACTATGGCAGAATATTATAGGAGTGTTGTTTTTCTTTGTATACAACACCACTTTTCATTGTTTTGACCCCACCCTCGTATACAATTTCTAAAAAAAATTTGTTGTTTGGGACTCCTAATCACATTGGTCATCAAAAACTTGGAGATTTAAAGCTTTGCCTCAGTGCTGGTATCATAATGGACATTAGGAAAACATCATTCCTATGCTTTGCCTGTCCAAAGCGAAGGCTGCAAAATTTGTAGTACATACCACAAAGAATGTCTGGTTCTCCTTTTATCTTAACTCAATATCTCTCCGTTTGCTACTTTCTCAGCTTTTTGTCCTACAAATGCATTAATGCATTAGTTAACATGCAATATTTTCTACTATTAGAGCTGATTCTTTTGAAAAGGAAAATTTCTATTGTTCTATTTCAAGAATGAGATATCCCTTCAAATCTCTCATTAATAACTATTTATTTATATTTTTTCAGGATGTTAAAAGTTTCAGTGTTTTACTTATCTATATATCTATATATGATCTATCTATACCTTGTACATTGCTTTCTCTGGTTTTCTAGAAATTAGTTTTGATTTATTACTATTTCCTTAGAATGACTGGGCTTATTTTTCTAGTATATCTTTAGTCTTCCATGCTGCTGTTTTGTGTTTTTTCAGAGACATTGTTTAACCGCTATAGAAATATGTGAAGTTTGAAATCCTCTTGATTAAAACCAGTGATTAAAATAATAAATCTGACATTTGTAACTTGT